TCAAAAATATCTCTTGGGATTAATTCATGATCACATACTGTAGATTATTTTAGGACAAATGGCATTTATTAATGTTCTTATCTGTTAACTTTTTTCCATTTATTTAGGTTTTATTTAATTTTTCTCAAATTGATTTTGTAGTTGTCAGTGTAGACATTTTGTACAACTTAAATAAATTTTTTATTGGTATTTGATTTTTTGGTGTTATTGTATTTATTGTATTGTATTCTAATTTGGTTGCATCTGGTATTTGGAAGCAAAATTGATTTGGTACATTGATTATATATTTAGCAACTTTGCTGAATTCATTTATTAATTCTAATACATTGTGTTCCCTGATATGGGTGCTAATTACAGGTGTGTTCAATTTATTAAAAAATGTGTTGAGCCATACATTTATATATGCTCTTTCTTATATATGTATATATTATATTTCAATAAAAATTCTATCAAAGAGACAAACCATGTGAAGGGGTAAAAATGGTAAACTAAGAAACAAAATGTTTGCAAAAGGCTTATCTACTCTACTGCAAATGAACTAGAGCTGATGGAATCCTTCATTTGAGGTAAAGGCATTGGATGAGTCATCCTAATTAAAACTTTCGATTTAAAAAAGAAAGATCAGATAGACTTCCTTGCCAACAAAAAGAACTCATAAACTAATGCAACAAATTTTATTAATATTTTGAGAATCTGATTAATGTCACAGCCTTTTCCCCAGGAGGAAAACATTGAACATACAAATATGTGTCCCAAATTTTCCATTTCAAATATACTGGAGTTAATTCTTAGTGCTTAAGATTTCACAGATCACTGTTGAATAACCCATGCTCTAGAGTAGTGCTAGGCATAGAACCTTCAGCAATAAAGGCAGTCTTCTACATCTGCACTGTTCAACAGAGTAGCCACTAGACAAATGTGATCATTAAAGATGTAAAATTTGCCTACTGTGACTAAGGAACTAAATTTTTAATTGAATTGAATTTCAATTAATGTAAATGTAAATTTAAATAGCCACATATGGCAAATGTCTTCCATATTGGATAGTACAACTCCAGCTCCTCTAACATATTAAGAGCTATCTTCAGCAGTTTACTATGGTTGAAATCACCTGAGTACTTTATTTAGAGTAAGCATGCCAACCACCAACCCATGGAATTCTTTTTTCCCTAAGCTTTATAATGGTTTAATTGACAAATAAACAAATAGGGTACATATTTATAGTATAAAACATTAGTTTTTGATAACTATACACTGTAAAATGATTAAATCAATGTAGTTAATATATTTATCATATTATTTGCTTACTTTTTTGTGGTGAGAACATTTAAGTTCTATTCTCTTGGCAATTTTCAAGTATACAATACATTAACCCAAGTCACCACATTGAACAATAGATGTCAAGAATTTATTACTTCTGTCTAACTGAAATTTTATACCCTTTGACCAACATCTCTCATTTCCCGTTCCCATCACCAGCCGCTGTCAACAACTATTATTATCTGCCTCTGTTTGATGTTTTTTAGATTCCATGTATAAGCGAGAGCATGCTATATTTGTTTCTCTATGCCTAGCTTGTTTTGCTTAACATGATGTCCTGTAGTTTCACCCATATTGTTGCAAAAGACAGAATTTTCTTTCTTTTTAAGGATGAATAGTATTCCATTGTATGTATGTATCTCATATTTCCATTATCTATTTATCTGTCAATGAGCATCTAGGTTATTTCCATACCTTGAGTATTGTGAGTAATGCTTCAATAAACATGGGAGTGCAGATATCTCTTAAACATATTGATTTCATTACCTTTGGATATACACCCAGTAGTGAAATTGCTGGATCATGTGGTAGTTCTATTTCTAATTTTTTGAGAACCTGTTTTCAGTAATGGCTGTACTCTTTTGCATTCCCATCAACAGTGTACAGGGTTCCCTTTTTTCCACATCCTCACCAATGTTTATCTTTTTGTTTTTTGTTTTTTGGGTTTTTTTTTTTTTTTGGTAATACACATTCTAACAGATGTGAAGTGATATCTCATTGTAATTTTCACTTTCATTTTCCTGATGATTAGTGATTTAAGCATTCAAAAACATATTTGTTGGCCATTTTTATGTCATCTTTAAGAAATATCCTTTCAGGTCCTTTGTTCATATTTTTAATCAGGTTATTTCTTTACTTACTAATGATGTTTGAGTTCCTTATATATCCTTATTAGATATATGGATTGCAAATATTTATCTTATTCCATAGGTTATCTCTTTACTATGTTGATTGTTTCCATTGCTGTGCAAAAAAGCAGCTTTTTTGTTTGTTTAATATAATCCTATTGTCTATTTTTGCTTTTGTTGCCTATGCTTTTGGGTTCATATAAAAAAAATTGCCTTTTCACTATGTTTTCTTTTAGTAGTTTTATAGTTACATATATTATGCTTAAGGCTTTAATTCATTTTGAATTGATTTTTGTATATAGCATGAGTTCAATTTTATTCTTCTGCATGTGGCTATCCTGTTTTCCCTGTGCTGTTTATTGAAAAGACTGTCCCATTGTGTGTTCTTGGCACATGTATTAAAGATCAGTTGTCTATAAACGCGCAACTTATTTCTTTGTTCTCTATTCTGTTTCAATGGCCTATGTCTGTTTTATGCCAGGACCATGCTGTTTTGATTACTATAGCTTTGTAGTATATGTTGAAATTAGATAGGGTTATGCTTCCAGCTTTGTTGATTTTGCCAAAGATTGTATTGGCCATTGAAAGTCTTTTGTGATTTCATGCAAAGGTAAATAGAGCCGATAGACATCTGTGTCTTTTTCCTGATCATAAAGAGAAAGCTTTCAGCTTTTCACAACCACGATATTAGTTCTGAACAACTAATATATTTGCTTTATTGTGTTGATACATTCCTCTATATCTAATTTTTTAAGGATTTTTATTACGAAATGATGCTAAGTTTTGTCAAATACTTTTCCTTCAGCTATTGAAATTATCATATTATTTTTATCCGTTATTTTATTATGGCATATCACATTAACTGATCTGTGTATGTTGAGCCATTCTTGCACCTTAGGGATAAATCCCTCATGATCATAATATATGATCCTTTTAAATGTACTGTTGAATTCAGTTTGATAGTATTTTCTTGAGTATTTCAACATCTGTGTTCATCAGGGATATTGGCTCTTAATTTTATTTTCTTTGGAATGTTTTCATCTAACTTTGGTATCAGGGTAATTCTGGTCTCATAAAATGAGTTTAGGAGTGCTCCTTTCTCTTCAGTTTTTTTTTTTTTTTTTTTAAGTTTGAGAAAGGTTAGTATTATTTCTTCTTTAAATGTTTAGCAGAATTCACCAGTGAAGTCGTCAACTCCTGGGCTTTTCTTGATTTTGATTGCTAATTCAACTCCTAGTTCATTATTGGTCTGGTCAGATTTTCTACTTATTCATGATTATGTCTTTGTGAAGTTTTATGTTTATAGGAATTCGTTCATATTATCTAGGCCATCCAATTTGATGTATAATTTTTCATAACAGTCTCATGATCCTTTTTATTTCTGTTGCATAACTTGCAATGTTCATTTATAATTTTATTTATTTGAGTCTTTTCTCTGTTTTTCTTAGTCTAGCTAAGGGCTTGCCAGTTTAATTTATTTTAGCAAAAATCCAACTCTTAATTTTGTTTTTTTTTTTTTCTATTATTTTTCTAATCTCTATTTCATTGACATTTGCTCTGATTTTTATTACTTCTTTTCTTCTGCTGACTTTGGTGTTAATTTGTTCTTTTATTTCCCTTGCTCCTTGAGGTGTAACATTACATTCAGTCAGTCAGTAATGTTTGATTAGAGATTTTAACATATTTACATTTAAAGTAATTATTGATAGTTAAGGACTCACAACTGCCATTTTTAAATTGCTCTCTGACTGTTTTCTGATTTGTTTTCCTACATTCCATTCTTTTTTCCTTGCTGTCTTCCTTTGTGGTTTGAATATTTTTGTTGTAGTGGTGGTATGCTTTTAAAAATCTTTTTAACTTTTTACTATTTTGATCAGGTACTCCTTATTTGTTACAATTTCTGGGTACCATAGGGTGTACATGAAATATTTTATAGGTATAACTATTTGTTTTATGCAGGTAACCACTTAACTTCCATTGCATATGGAAACTCTAGATTTTAACTTCTCTTCATCCCACATTTACTTAACATATTACTGTAGCTATAGTTTATTTTTTCATACTTTTGTTGTTTGAGTTGTATAATACAGTTAAAAATGACTTAATCAGCACCATTACAGTAATATTCTAAATTTGACTATGTATTTGACCATGTATTTACTTTTACAACTGAGTTTTATACTTTCATGTGGTTAGTTAGCAACCTTTCAATTCAACATTAAGACCTCCCTTTAGCATTTCTCTCTTTTTTTAAGCAAAAAAAGCAGAGATTTATTGAAAATGAAAGTACACTCCACAGTGTGGGAGCAGGCCCAAGCATCATGGCTTAAGATCCTCCCTTTAGCATTTCTTGTAAATCAGGTATAGCTGTGGTGAATTCCCTCAGCTTTTACTGTTCTGGAAAAGTCTTTTTTCTTTATTTCTGATGGATGGACTTCTCAGGTGTAGTATTCCTGGCTGGCAGTTTCTTTCTTTCAGCACGTTAAATATATCATTCTACTGTCTCTTGGCCTGCAAAATTTCTGCTCCTAGTATTATAGAGGTTCCCCTATATGTGATGAATGGCTTTTCTCTTACTGCTTTTAAAATTCTCTCTTGTCTTTGACTTTCGTGAATTTGATTATAATGTCTCAGTGAAGACTTCCTTACATCTTAACTATTTGGTGTTCCTTGTGCTTCATGGATCTGGATATTCATTTCTCTCTCCAGATTTGGGAAACTTTCTATCTTTATTTCTTTAAATAAGCTTTCCACCCCTTTATCTTTCTCTGTTCCTTCTGGGATTCTCATAATGCATAGATTGGTTTGCTTCACAGTGTTCCAAAATTCTAATAGGCTTTCTCCACTGTTTTATATTCTTCTTTATTTTTACTCCTCTGACTGGATAATTTTGAATGCCCTGCCTTCAAGCTCATTGATTCTTCTGCTTGATATACTCTGCAGTTGAAGTTCTTTACAAAATTCTTCAGTTCAACTATTGTGTTATTTAGCTATTTCTTTTTTGTGACTTGTATCTCTATTGTATTCTCATTTTGTGTATTATTTTTCTTATTTTTCAGATTTTGTTTAGCTGTCTGTGTACTCGTGTAGCTTACTGAGCTTCAAGACAACTAATTTGAATCACGTGTCAGGCAGTTCATAAGTCTCCATTTTTCTCCTGTTTTTCTTTTCTTTCTTTCTTTTTCTTTTTTCCTTTTTTTTTTTTTTTTTTTTTTCTTGAGATGGTATCTGACTATGTTGCCTAGGCTGGCCCTGAATTCCTGGGCTCAAAGGATCCTCCTTCCTCAGCCTGCCAAGCATCTCAAGTAGCTAGAATTACAAATACATACCATACCTGGTGAGTCTCTATTTCTTTAGAATCAGTTACTGGTGTTTTATTTCATTCCTTTGGTGGTATCATGTTTTCTTGATTATTTGTAATCCTTGTGCCCATGCATTCATTTGGATCTGCACTTTTGAAGAAGTAGACATTTATTCCAGTCCTTACATACTTGACTGGCCCAGTGCCTGGGTCAGCAGATGGGCTGGCCTGATTCATTGGTCTATAGGAGCTGGCCTAAAGCCTGGATCCACTGTGATAGGCCTGGATCCTGTGTTCACCTTGGCTAGCCTGGTGCCAAGGTCCACTGAGATGGACTTTTTGACTGAGCCCATGAGAGCAGGCCAGGACCCTGAGTTTGTGGTGGCCAACCTCAACATCTGCAGAGATGGTACTAAAGCATGGGTCTGCAGGGGCCCAGACAGCATCAGGGTCTAGTGGAGTGAGCCTGGACCCTACGTCCATTGGAACCTAGGGCTATGGGGACCACTCTGGAGCCTGGGATCACAGGGGACAGGTCTGGAACCTGTAACTGCAAGGGCTGGTCTGGAAGTTGGGTCTGTGAGTATCAGCCTGGTGCCTCAGGCTGCAAGTACCCAGCCCAGTGCCTAGGGCTGCAGATGCTGGCCTGAAACTAAGGCTTTTGGGTTCCAGTCTTGTGCAACACAGGACTGGGGACATAGTCTGTGCCAGCCTGAAGTGCAGGGCTGTGGGACTCAGCCTGTAGTGGCAGCAGGCCTAGAGATTCCTCCACAGGTGTCTGCCTAGAGCCTGGTGTTAAGAAGGTCAGCCTAGAGCTGTATTTACTGAGACAGGCTTTGAGTCAAAGGCAAAATCAGGTTCTTGCTTAGAGTTCATTCCTTCACATGGAGGGTATCTCTCTGCACTGTTCTGCCAGACTTGGGAGAAGAGTGATGCAGGTCGTGTGAAATTATACTGCCTACCCTCTTCAATGTGTCTTTTCTTATTTCTCCGCTACATCCAGGTGCTGTATCCTCTCAACGTGATTTCTCTAGCTCTTCTGAAGGTATTTTTACACATGGATGGTCAAATAAATGTTTCTGTGAGGGAAGAAGTGCTGAAAACTCCTATTCCTCTGTCTTGCTGATGTCTTCCAATCCCTGGAATTCTAATTCAGGGCCTCAGAATGTATATTTTTAATAAGAACACCAAGTGATTCCGAGTCATAAAGCCGATGAAATACATTTAAAAATATACTGGCTTATATTAAATTGTCACACATGCATAATATTGCAGTTTTCTATCTTTGCCTCTTCTGTTTGACTATGATTATTTATGTTTTTCATTATTCGTATCAACTTTCAACAGCTCCCTACTGGAATCTCTTCTAGCTCACCAACTTTGTCAAGTACATACTGTGTTTGAAAACAGGTAACCATGTTACAATTATATCTAAAATAAAAATTTAAAGTCTCAGCGAAGTTTTAAGACTTCCTTAAGAATATTTCCTATTTTTATTGAATTGCCACTAGCAAGTTAATTTTGACTTCTCAAGTGTCATTTTTACTTTTTGATTTTTTTTTTTTTTTAATTTTACTCAGTTTTCAATGTAGGTCAAGCTTGCTGAATACTTGACTTCGGAATTAGAAGGCATTGCTCTATACTTTTATCAAACAGATATTTGTTGCTTTTAAATATTAGACTCATAATGATAATTATGTGTTTTTTTTTTATTTATTGAATCTTCTCAGTGAAACCACAAAACATATACACTTTAAAGTATATGTCACACAAAACATAATATACAATAAAATCATTTAATGTTTACTCCGATTAAGACTTCAGAAAATAGGCAGTACAATATCCTCATTTAACAGATGAATAAATTATGATTCAGGAAGATTTGATAAGTTTTCCAAAGTAATAAAAACATGTCTAGACTTTCCCAACACTTTGGTTACATCTCATACCACCACGGCATCTCGAGTCCCTATATCTCTTATTTATTCAACAAATACTGAAAGGTTACTGTGTTCTAGGCACTGTTATATCATTGAACAAAAGAGAAAATATGAAGTATAGATTTAACTGAAATAAGAGTAGCTTGATGTTCTCTAATGGTGCAAAAATTTTCTTCAGATTTATCCAATCTTTTACTACGGAGGTAGAAAGGGTTACAAGGTCAAGAAATTTTTTTTGTATATGTACATGGGCAAAATTATTTCCCAAACTAAAATTCTGCTAATTGTCATTCTTTATTTGGAAACTATTATGTATTTGACTCACTGACTCAAATACATAAATTCTATGGTATTTCAGTTTCTAAAATATTTACTATATAACTAGGTAAACCTTTTTTTATGCTTGGTTTTTTCTTTTGTTTTTGAGAGAGTCTCACTCTGTCATGCAGGCTGGCACAATGATGACTCACTGCAGCTTCAACCCCTCCTGCTCACTGTAGCCTCAACCCCTCCCACCTCAGTCTTCTGAATAGCTGGGGCAAGTATGTGACACCATACTCAGCTATTTTTTATTTTTTAAAATTTCATTTGTAGAGATGTGGTCTCTATTGTGCAGGCTAAGCCTCCTTTACTCATAAAAGTACTTATTTAATTCATGGTTTATAATTATAATTCTACATTAGTATTAACAACCATAAGTTTTAAAAATAATTTTATTTCTCTATATTTCTTTAATAAGTATCACTTACATATTCCTACAAATAGGTAAGCCATTCTTGTCTTGTTATATATCCAACAACGTCCTGTGTATCCACATTCATTAACATCCCGGAAAATACAAGAATTTTCTCCTGACATTTTAAAGATTGACGGTCCAGGAATAGTCCCTATGAAAAATGCAATGATTGTAAATTCTTTGTGAAAACACTGTAGGTCAGGATCCAAATTATTTTCTCTTAAATATGTAATGTACACACACATAATATATATGAATGATGAATCATCATTGAAAACATATCACTTAAAATTATCTAATAATTTATTTATAGATAAGATTGTTAAGCACTGGAAACAATGTGAGTTTTCAAAAACAATCAATATCCCTATAGGTATGATACAATTAGTAGTTTTGCATCTGTTTAGAATGTTGTACATGTTGCTATTTAAATGACATCTCAATATTTTTAATGACTTTTATGTGAAAAACTTCGGAGAAAGTACTTAAAACAGAGATACCAAATACTGATTTTGTGAAGTTAGTATGTCTTCAAATATCTCTAATTGTGAAATTTTCAACGACTGAAAAATGACTTTGCAAATGTATATCTGTTATTTACCAAGACATTGAGAAAAATAACTGAAAATGCAAATACACTGGCCTGTTTATAGTAGCCCCAGATTCAGATGACCTCAGATCCAGAGGACCAGCTGTGCTGCCTGAGGGAAACCTCTACATAGTCTCAGACAAAATCTTCACAGCAACAATGTTACTTTCAGCCAAAAGTGAGTGAACAGTCTCTCTCTCACACACACACACACACACACACACACACACGGAGTTGCCCCCAAACACACCAGACCTAGATTCTCAGAACTAAAAACTCTGATGGTGGATCATCTTTCTTAAGCAAATATCAGGACCTTCTTGCCTAAATGACTGTCGATTCTTGCTAATGTGCATTATCTAGATTCACTCTTCTTGGTGAGTGATAGTACTCTTTTTTCAATTGTTCAAGGTTAAAAAAAATTGACTACTATTCATTTTTTCCATTTTTTACCATCTTCTTTCAAGCCATCATATGTCTTTGTAACATTAACTCCAAACATGCTTTGGATATGTTGTTTTCTCTATTTGTACTACAAACCCTAGAATCTACTTTAATGTAACTGTTAGCCTTCAACAAAAGCCCCCCTTTTCTTTTCCTCCACATTTATCTCCTGTATTTTTTCTTCTATCAACAGAGTTTCCTTTTACTTTTTATTTTTAAAAATTATTATTTTTTTTTTTTTCAGAGACAGAGCCTTGTTATATTGCTGAGGCTGGTCTCCAGCTCCTGGCCTCAAGCCATCCTCCCTCCTCAGCCTCCCAAAGTGCTGGGATTACAAATGTGAGCACTATGCCTAGCCAAGGTTATCTTTTAAATGTAAATCAAATAATATATATCATCTGCTTAAAATTACCTGGCAGAAAAACCCTAAAATATCTGTAGACAGTTTATGTCTATAATATTTAATATCATCTTATTCTCCCTCTCCCATTCAAAAACACATCAACTTCACTGACTCCCTTTCCGATGCAGTAAACTTCCTGCGTGCGGACTGTTTCCTATGCTACCTCTTCCATTACAAATCTCTTATCTAGTTAATCATTGTCCAAAACAAAAACATTATCTAATTTTTCCCAGCTAAAAAAGCTAATATTAATCACTCATGTAGATCTAGCTATAGAATGATGTCTCTGATCCTTAATAGAGTCACACTTAGATTTTTCTACATTTTTTGATTGTATGCCATTCAGTCTTTAATCCATGAACTTAGTAAATCAGGGGCTCTAAAATGGTCATAATGTGCATGTGAAATCTAGTTTTTGCTATTTAAGAAAATCAAAGAAAATAGTACATTACCCTCCAACATTTATTTGTTCTTAGAAACAAATAAATCTTTGAAAACATTAGATTCATTGTCTTTGGTGATGAAAACATTTAAAAATGTTAGTCTAGGTTAGTGACTTCTGAAGCACATAAGCAATGTAAAGTATTACAAATGTTTTGTATGAGCCTATCAAGCCACTCATATGAGATAATTACTATATTTCAAATCAAATTTGTTGTCTCTTCTGATCAAATATAATATGCATATTTTATTTGATAATTTGATAATTAGAATGAGCTTTGCATTAGGTATTACCTCTTTACATTGTCTCCGAAATTTTGCAAAGCAGTTCCCCCTTTCACTCGCTTTGTGTCATTTACTATTATTTATTTGTAATACTAAATACACATGTAGACATATACACATATTAAAAAAAAAACCATTTTGATATAATAAGAGGTTGCCAAAAATCCATACCAAATATTCTCAAAACCACATAGCATACACCCAAGGCCAGAGAACGCAGTTGGACAGGTACAATCCTGAAAGTAAATAGCAATGATATAATCAGTACATCATTGTTGTTAGGACTAATAATGTATGCTAGATTCAAGACTAATCTTTTTTTTTTTTCTTTTTTTTTTCTGGTGCATCAGTTGTACTAAGAATCTTTAGCCAATTGACAGGCCTGTTAAAGGGCTACAACTCCCCATTTCTCCATATCCTGCCCCCGGCCAGCCAATTCCAAAGGTCCTCGATCTTCCCAAAGAAGGTTTTTATGGCCCAAATCCTCTTCCCCAGCTCCCATTCCTTTGCTGGAAAGACTTAGTACTAGATTTTATACTCACTGGTTTTCATTCTGTCATGTACACCCATTATTCTAGAGTTCTTTTGCCCCTGTGAGATTCACTCTCCACATTTTTCTATCTTGCTCTCTGCCCCGGGAGTCTGAGGTAAATGGACTATATCAGTGGGCTCTTTTGTCTTCTGGTTACTGATTGGGACACTTCTGAATGAGTGAGGAAAGTGAGGTCAAGATCTGTACTCAAAGACTCCTTCCCAGCCGTTACCCAGGCTGACGGTGTTCCATGGGTGAAGGAGTCCTCTCTACAGGACTCCTTTTTCCTTCCCAGCCCTTGTTTCTCTTCGGGCCTGAAGTGGAAGGATACCAGAGATAATGCACTATTACTTGGGATCCTTACACCTTACCTACATTTTTAGTAGTCACTTCATTCAACCTTACTCAAATTGTTCTAATTTGAGGGTGCCTTTCGTGTTTGACCTGTGACTACTACATTCACTATTTAAAAGCTAAAATAAATGAAAAATAACTTTTCCAAATATAAAGAAGGAAGATCTCAGTATTTCCTACTGATCAAACCAAACGTTTGTTTAAAAAAGAAACAAATGTATAACTGTACATATTAGGAGTTTGGAAAATAAATAAAAATACAATTAAAAATAATCTTCGAACATTTAAAAAAGTTAAAAAAATAGGAACTATATTATTAATGGACATTTTAAATAAAAACACTGTTTATTTGCCTTCGAACTTGAACAATAAACTATATTACGACCAATATTTCATCCAACATGATTCTATTTATAAAAATATAGCATATATACAGTATTTTGTAATATTTTGCAAAAAGTGAGGTAATTCTACCCATATCAACCTGGTAAAAATATATATTTCTTCCTCATATATTTACTACTAGAAAAATAAAAGCAAACTAACCAATTCTCAAATGATAACCAAATTTTTAAATAAAAAATAATTTACACTTTCATTATGAGCAGATTCACTAAAGAGAGTTTAAAAAAAAGTCACGTTTTCAAATCACACTTTAGTGTAGTTTTTGATATAAAGTGGAAATGTTGCCTAACTATAATTCAGTGTTCTCCTTTATTTAGCATAAGTAATTTTCTTTTATGTCATATAATATTGGAGCTATCTGAAGCACATATATAGCTGACCATTATTCATAAGTATAATCATTAAGCAGTATTTATGTATCTTCAGTTTGATTGCAAGCGCCTTTTTAACTAACATACAAAACAAGATGAAAAGATTAATAATTTCCAGGATTTTCCAAAATTAGTTCAGTGAATAGCACAAAAATAACTAAGAGATATGTACATAAAACTAAGGTTTTAATGAAAAACTATTGTGCTTTAACAAAAAAGTAAGTATTAAGATTTTTAAATCTAATCTATAATAGAATAGTTAAGGATTTAATGAAATAAACAAACAAAAAAAAATTGTCAATACTCTCCCAACATGTAAAAAGAAGCTTTCACTGTCTTTTATATGGCCTCTAAATTTATATTTTTAGTCCATATCTTTCTTATAAGACATCGGTTCTAAATGTAAGTTGCTGTCTTGCACAAAATTTGTTCTTCCCCTAAAACTTCCCGTTTCAAAAAAAAAAAAAAAAAAAAAAAAAAAAGGAACCTGTGTTTACGCACTTCTCAAGCCCAGATCTTGGAAAAAGGCATTTTCAAAAAGATCATTTTTTTCTCATTCACCACACCTCATCAGTAGATCCAATATTGCCATTAAAATTTTTTTTATATCTCTTTTTTTAATCTCTAATACCACTGCCCAATTTCAAGCCTATAGCTTCATGAAATAAATGAAACAATTTTTCTCCCAATAACCACCCTTATCCCTTCTGTGCATTCTCCATACAAGAACGAAAATGATTTTTTTTTTTTTTGAGACGGAGTCTCGCTCTGTAGCCCAGGCTGGAGTGCAGTGGCCAGATCTCAGCTCACTGCAAGCTCCGCCTCCCGGGTTTACGCCATTCTCCTGCCTCAGCCTCCCGAGTAGCTGGGACTACAGGCGCCCGCCACCTCGCCCGGCTAGTTTTTGTATTTTTTAGTAGAGACGGGGTTTCACCGTATTAGCCAGGATGGTCTCGATTCCCTGACCTCGTGATCTGCCGGTCTCGGCCTCCCAAAGTGCTAGGATTACAGGCTTGAGCCACCACGCCCGGCGGAAAATGATTTTTTAAAATGAAATTCTGATTATTCTAATGCCTCACATTAGGATCCTTCAGTGGCTTCCCATTGTTCTAAGAATTAAATCTAGAATTGCAAAGAAAATTTAAAATGGTCAGCCTGATCTAATCAGTATTATTTCAAGCCACCTCTCAACTTTTGCCCCCATCACCCTCCTTGCTATGATACGACACACTTACAAAGCTACTTCTCCCTCCAGACTTTTTGCATCTGTTGTTCCCACTGTGTGAAATACTGATCTTCCATCCTTCAGGGTTTGATTCCAATGCAATTTCTTCAGGAACACCCTCCCTGAATCCCCAGAATAAGTTAGACTATCATGTTTAATTTTCTCATTGTGTTTTTCCACATTTTGTTTGGAGTATATTTTAATATTACAATTAAATATTTATTAGTAAAACTACATTTTTTTTTTCTGTCTACCCTGTTACATCTAACATCCATCAGAGGAGCAGAGACCTGATCATTTGTGTTCCTCTTTTATTCCACTTTTTTCCTTAGTGCTCCTCCACTCTCTTGTTTGAATCCACAGTGACTACCACAATTAAGAGACATAAATATGTTAAAATAATGAAGACAGAAGGGAAAATGTTGAAGAACTAGTTTTCTTAATGAGCCACTTGATAGAAAGATACAGATAAATCATGATTCTTTTCTGTTTATACTGACGCCCTTCTCTTCTTCAGATTTCAGCAAATTTCTCAAGAAGAAAAATTATTTTGTCATTCTTAGCCCCAGGTGATCACTGAAAATTCTGCCAGTTTGCTTGTCTTCCACTTGTGACCCCCAACCTGGGCCTAGTGCAGATTGCAAGCATCTGGCGTGCACCAAGAATTTGTCAAGTACCTCAGGGGCAGTTTTAGATGCCCAGTTCACCTCTGCAAGCTTCTGCTCTCTCTGGAATTTTGATCCTTTTAGTCCTTTGCCTCTTTTTGACTTTTATTATTTAACCCGCCTTTCTAGTTGTCCTCTATATGAGTATTGACCTGTTGCAAATCATTGAATGCTATCCCATTTCCGTGGCTTTAATTATCACTTATTTGACAATAATTTAATAATTAATGTGGTTAGCTTTGACTTTTATTGAAATTTTAAAGATTAAACTTTGTTGAATTTGTAATATCGTTACATGCTTTGGAAAGCAAAACAATGTAAAGAAGGCACACTGGAGGAATTTGCTTGCTTATATTACTATCCTCTGTTTATCTGCAAATAGGTAAATTTATTTCTGTAAGGTTATCTATATCATATTACATACAATACCATATATGTAGTATACAATGTAATGCCATATAGATAATAGATAATAAAAACCTGAGAAAACACTAAATTTGAAGGAACAGACTGGTTGAATAAATGATTGCACTTCTGAGCAACACAATATTATGCAACTATAAAAAATAAATAGAATCTCTATGTTTATGTGAAAAGAGATATTAAGAATATATTATTACATTAAAAATCAAAATAGAGAATGGTGAACATAGTTTGCTACCTCCTGTGACGAAAGGATAAAATATAGAGATATACATTTATAGTTATTTGTATATGCATAAAGAAACACTGAAAGTATAAGAAAGACAGTAATTTAAATTGTCATCTTTAGGAGATGGGTTGAAATGGAAATAATTTGGGGAAAAAAATATATCAAGTTACACCAGAACCATTTTTCAACAGTCCATCTTTGCTGCACTTGTTTAAGATTTCACTTTCATTACATATTAAATTCCCACATGAGTTGGGGTTTATTTCTATACTTACTATTTGCTTATAAGTCACTACTTTTTTTTTTTTTTAATTATTGGGACTTTTATGGTGCCTTTTATCTTATGGGGTTAGGCATCAATTATTGTTCTTCTCTGTTTTAGATTCCCAAGCTTACTCTTGCTTATTTTATTTCCATAAGAACTTTAGAATCAGATTATGTAGTTCCACAATTCTACTGGTATTTTCATTATCATGTTAAAATTATAAATTAACTTAAGGAGAATTGATATACTTGTGGTGTTGGCTTTCCTATTCAATCACACAAGACACATCTTTGCTCTTCGTTCAAGTCAGACTGCTTTTGTGTGATATTTGGGTGTGTATGGGGGTGGGGTGGTGGGGGGGGGTTGTTGTTTCCTTTTATTTTGAAAGTGTTATAGCCTCACAGGAAATTGTAAAAATAGTACAAAGCATGCTGTGTATCTTCTCCCAACTTCTTCCAGTAGTGACATCTTATATAAATGTAACACAATATATACCTTCTGGCTGGTGGGTACTCTGCAGGGTCCTGAGGCAGTACAGGGCATCCCATGTCCACGGGGCTGAGTGTGCTAGCTCAGGTCTCTCTTTCTCCTCTTCCAGAGCCATGAATGCTTCACCCTCATGACCTCATCTAATCCTAATTGCCTCCCAAAAGTTCCACCTCTCAAATACAACAGTCCCATTGTCTACTCTCTTAATACTGTTACAATGTGGATTAAGTTGCAACACGAGTTTCAGAGAGGATCTAGTTATTTTCTTCTGTTCTGTGGCCATGATTATTTCACTTTTAAAGTTTAAACTCATGTAGTTACATTTATATTTTTATCTGATTCACAGTAACTTTTTTCCCCCCATGAGTTTTCATTGTCTATAGTAATGTTTGATAATTTTTATTTCATTTGTAGCAGTTATTTGTAATTTTGTACATAGGCAGAATCTTTTCCTGTTCTACTTACTCGTTTTTGAATGAGATACATTTTCTTAAACTTGAGGAAGTTTCCAGGGGTGGAACATGGGCCAAGCTTTGAATCTATAGGTTATCTCTTCTATTGATATAGTAGACTTAAATATGACTCCTATGTGTAGTAACACTTCTCTGCCTCTCCAAATCTGTCCTAGTTCAAAAGAGCTTTTACTGTTAGCCCAGGGTTTCTAAAATCTCTTCACAGTTCTTGCTTTCAGAGGTTATATGCATTCATTTGCAGAAGGGGTATTTCTTGGCTATTTTTGAGGTCTGCCATGTCTGGACCTCCTGGGAAATTTTCAAGCCTCCTTCTCATTCTTTCCTGAGAGATTCTTCCTCAACTTATCTACGTAAGTCCTGTTCCCAGAAGGTCCATATCAAGACCAAACCCTCTCCTTCTGAGCAGAAATATATGTTAGAGATACGTGTGATCTGTCAGTCCTTGGGTCCTCTCTATATTTTCTGTTCCTTATAACATCTTCTGAATCTACAAGCTGGTTTCCAGTCCTGCTTAAATTTTGGCAACACTTATATGCAATTTCAACTTTGTCATTTCTTTGGTCTATGTCATAATTGTACTGAAACTATAGTGTGTGTGTGTGTTTTATTCTGTTTATCTCTGTCTAGTTATGGAGAGAAGTGAGATTCAGAACTAAAATTCTAGAATATTACTATCATCTCTTTCATCTCACTGCTGGAAACATTGAATGTTTCAAAGAACACTAACACATAAATGTTCAATATTGTACTGATCATCTTCAGTCTGAGGTTTCTTTTCTTCTTGTATTTCCTATTTTAGTTAATGGAATTATCATTCATTCAGTTCCAAACTAGAAGTCTGGATATAATCCTAGATTTCTCCATATTTTGTACCAGGCATATCAAATTAATAAACCTTACCCTCTTATTTATTTATTTATTTATTTTTTTGGAATCTCACTCTGGCACACAGTCTGGAGTGCAGTGGCATGGATCTTGGCTTATTGCAGCCTCAGTCCCGGGTTCAAGTGATTTTCCTGCCTTAGCCTTCTGAGTAACTGGGATCACAGGCCCTCGTCACAACACCTGGCTAATTTTTGTATTTTTAGTAGAGACGGGATTTCACTGTGTTGGTCAGACTGGTCTCGAATTCCAGACTTCAAGTGATCCATCCTCAACGGTCTCCCAAAGTTCTGGGATTATAGACATGAGCCACCGTGCCTGGCCACCACTACTAAATTCCAAGTGCTTTCCTTTTTCTCCAGGTTTTCCCCTCAGCTCTATCTTTCACACTTTTCAAAGCGTTCTATCTAAGATGCCATCTGATCACTTTCGCTCCTGAGGTTTGCAGTTTTCAGTGGTTCCCAGGTGTGTACATAGAATAACAACATTCACGTTAACATGGCAAAGAAGGTCATGTTAACGTGAATTGGGCCCTTACCTAGCTCAAATCTCTTCGTCTCATTCATCATCATGCTATCCTGTCATAGCAAACTTTTTGCCAGGATATTTCACACATTTTTTGGCTTCACTTTCACTGCTCACTTTTCCTGCTAAGGTCTTGCCTCCAGCCTGCTTGTATTATGAGAAATCATTTCTTTATAATTCATTTTCTGGAATAGATCTTATAGTACTTCCAAATCAACTCAGATAGAAATTACCATTTTCCTCTCTTTGTTTCCTGGTCAGCCTATGCAGGCTCTTCATGCCTTAAAGTTTTTTGTTAGCATCTTGAAAAAATAAAATTGAAAATAACAAAAAATTATTCTGCACTATAATACAAATGAATATTAAATGGATTTCATATATTTTGGAAGAACACATAAATAATAAATGGTGGTTATGTTTAGAATAATAATAAAAGTTACACACTGAAATTCTAAAAGTTATTATGCTCCTTTGTTGATGACACTCATGTTTTCTTATAGTCAAATTAACCAATATGGATGAAAATAGTTAATAAATTCCTATAACCAATTATAATGAGTCAACATTATAATCAAATCTGTGTTGAAATTAATGTTTTTCCTACATTTATAATGTTTCTATGTGTGTTAAATTAGGTAAATACATTAAGTTAAAGTTAAACAATGTGATTTTTACATACTCTATGCAAATAAACTAGTTAAAAGAGAAATAATCATACACATGAATTGTGACAGTTTAACAACTTTCCCTCTGCATTTGCTACCATGAAACACAGAGGAAATTATTTGCTACAATATTCTAAAATCTTTCCAAAATTACTTTTCTTATATATTAAATAAACAATAATAATGAATAATATATACATACCGCATGATGGTCAAGGCGATTGGTACACCAGAAAAACCAGAAAATACAAGCGTAGAAAAGATAAAAGCAACGAACAAAGGTAATTTATAGCACTTTGCATCACATTTCCCACGTCTGGCATCAATAAAATCACCTTCTTCATCTGCAGTTATTAATCCTTCTTTAATGCAAGAACAATTGTAGTATGTCTGTGAGTATTGAAGACAGGAAACAATCTTTCAGAAAAATAGTCATAAACAAAAGCTCTTATCATAAAATAAGAATTAAATCAATAACTGCAGGGAGACTCGTTAGTTTTATTTCAAAATGTTTTTATATTAAGCCTGCTATGTATTATTTAGAAATGAAACATTAATGATAAATCCGAGGTATTTTACATGGCAAAGAATCTGTGTGTGTGTGTGTGGAAGGCAGTGTGTGTGTGTGTGTGTAATTATAATTACTTAGAAAAAGTTCAGTTAATTTAAGAAATTTTCCTCAAAATATTTATATTCAAATGCATAAGAAATTGTTGGATATATATATTGAGGGAAATTAAAAATAATGTAATGAAAAAATGGAATTTTAGCTGAGATTTAAAATATGGACAGTTACCCAATTGTGAAAGGCTTTGAAACCATACTAAAAAGACTTTATTTTGTATGTAATAATGACAGGGCTGCTATCCATTTGGGACAACAGACACAATGCCTAGAATCTGTAACATATTCAGGGCCACATAAAATATTTTAATTTTAAAGCATTTTAAAATCAAAGAAAAAATGAGTATAATAATAAATTATATAAAATGAATATATAATGACGAATCCAGCTTGGATCGTATTTTTTTCATAACAATGTGATGTAGATAAAATAATTTCTTTATCATTATTAATTTTTCAGTGAAGAAAGGAGAGCACAAAGGCAGAAGTGTCTAGAGCCAATGAAATTCATACTGTAGCCCTGAATGGAAAGCCAATGAGAATTTGGAGTTGTGGTTGTAGGGTGGATAATTTAAGGCAGATGAATTGGTGACATTTTCTAAGGAGAATTAACCAGAATTTAAAGACACAGAGACCAGTTTGTAATTTATTAATTTATTGGAAATATTCTAAACCACAAAATAAGACAAAGAAAAGAACAACACAATAAATTTAGCAGAAATATTGAATTAGATTTTACTAGTGAAAAAATAAGAGAAATTAAACATAACTTGAATCTGAGTGATTCAGAAAATTATAATTCAGACAAATTTATGTCAGTTTGGTGGGTGAAGTTGCTGAGAGGTTAATACATATGTTAAATAATATAAATACCCAAATATCCAAATATCAATTCCTTCATTCCACCAACTATTTTTTTGAGTGCCTATATGCCAAACATCATTCTAGGTTTTGGGAAAACACAGTAAACAATACTATAGAAACCACTGTTTCGTGTAGGAAACTTTCTATTTGGGGAGACAGGACATTTAAACAAAAAAAAGGAACTTGAGTATTTAATGACAAGTGCTATGGAGAAAATAATAAAACAAGGACAAGTACAGGGAATACTGGGGGGGCTATAGGACAATACTTAACATGATCCGAGAATGTTTCAATGATGAAGTGATATTTGAGCTGAGATCTGAAAAAGGTAAGTGAGTGGACCACATGGTTATCTAAAAGAAATGTTTCAAGTAAAAAAAAAAAGTAACAGTAATTGAAAAGCTTTGTGGTAGAGCTTGCTTGAAAAGTTGAAAGAAAAGCAAGAACAGAACAGGCTGGATCAGAATGAACATGAAGGAGACTAAGAGAAAATAAAATCAGGGTGGTAGGAAAAGGGAGGATTATACAGCTATTGGGCGGCAATTGCAAGAGCAATGTGAAGAACTTTGGTTTTTATTCTTAGTGATTGTGAAGTCATTCGATGGATATATAAATGACATATTTTAAAAGATCATTGTGACTGCTATATTGAGACTTTTGAAATATGTAGGCAAGGGTAAAAGCAGATGGAACAGTTAAAAGTCTATAAAATAAAGTACAAGACAACAGTGCTTGAGAGGCCAGGGTGGTAATCAGAGAAAATGAAAACGGCCAACTTCAGCGTTTACTTTGAAAATAGGTTTGAAAGGATTTGCTGAAGGATTCTAGAGTGAAAATGGTCACCAGAAAGAAAAGGTCATATGGGGAAGGACTTCCTAGGAGAAACTATGACTTTTAGTCAAGGGAGGCAGTCAGTCATCCATAGCTCAGGGAAAGAACCAAGAAAATCAACACCATGATATCACTTGTTTCCCCTGTCTTCCTAATTTTGTATTAGGACTCCTTATCATCTTAACCCAGTCCACAGTCAGAGGGCAAAGGAACTTTCATCCTATAATTCAATCTCCTGGGATATTGAGGAGGGTAGAAAAATGTAAAAAATGAATCTGGAGAACAGACGAAAGATATCTAGCACAACAAATAGTTGTAGGCCATACAATCTTTTAGCCATACAAGATGGCTAAAAGGAGAAATAAAAAAATGCAACAAGGGGTTCATGAACAGATTATGGAATCAGAAGATACTGGGCTCTAAAAGGGCTGAAGAACTAAGGAGTCCACGTACTAGATAAAGTGAGCTGAAAGAAAAGAAGTTGTAGATCAATAGTAGAATAATTGAAATTGAGATCATGAAAGGAGTAAAGTCGTTGTAAAGGCCTAGGGTATGACCATGGAGGGACATTGCATGAGGTAGAGTGCAAACAAGATTACCAGGAAAGAATATGTCAAGGAATTATAGGGTTAGAGAATTAGAAAGAGCCTCAAGATGAATTTCCAGATTAGAGAGAATGCCAGTGAACCAGGGCCTAAAATCCTCGAGGAATGGGGGGAGGAAGAATCCTTGAGTCTGAGAATGACTGTAACAAAAAGGATAGTAGAAGTAATGCCTGCTCAAGTAAGTTTCAATGATGGAGAATTGGGAAAAAGTAAAGGGAAAATGGTATGAAAGTACTAATGAGTGTCTTAGCTCACTTTGTGTTGCTATAACAGAATGTCACAAACTGGGTAATTTATTTCTTATAATTCTGAAGGCTGGCAAGTTTAATATGAAGGTGGTGGCATCTAGTGAGGGCCTTTGTGCTGCATCATCTCATGACAGAAAGCAAAAGGATAAGAGAACAGGAGCATAAGAGAGGGCCAATCTGTTTTTATAGCAACCCACAATCACAATAACAAACCCGATCCTGCAATAATGGCATTAATCCCTTGATGAGGACAAAGCCTAATCACCTCTTAATGATCCCACCTGTTAATGCCATCACAATGACAGTTACATTTCAATGACTTTTTTTCTTCATTTAAATTGGAACACCATGAAAAAAACTTATAAAATATCAACTTTTGCAAATGGCTTGCAAGCCATTGTTAATTACTATATAATGTTAGTTTCTAAGTTACTAATATAGGCCCAAAGTCCTCTACACACAATTTTCAAGTCGAGAGCACTCTGAAAACCAAAGAGTTTTCTTTGTAGCTTATTTGATGAAAAAATACGACCCAGAATAATGTAAAGCTATTTAATGTTTTCATTTCTCTCTCTAAATGAGAATATCACAAGTGTTGGTATAGAAATATTAATGTTCGATTACAGTTGCTGCTCTGCTGAGTGTGGAATATGATATACAATGATTATGTACTATATTTCTTTTTAAAATCCAACAATTGAGATATTTGAATTCAAGAATTTTGGATAAAAGCTTGTGAGCCTTGAACAGGAGTATTTTTCTTACCCAAATGTACTGTCTCAGCTGAGAGGACGTGAGTAGTCTCTACACAGTTACAAGAGCAGAGTAATGGTGATGAAAGTACAGTGCTAACTTAAACATCATTACTTTTCATTATAAAAATAATTCATGACCACTGAAAATATTTTTAAGATATTTTCATTTTTAAGAAAAATGAAAAAAGTAAAAATAGTTAAGTCCCCAAAGATGGATATTATCTTAAAGCATTTTTTTTCATTTTCTAAGATATCATGTTAAATAAAAGAACAAAGTGCATAAAAATATGTATGATATGCTCCCATTTGTATAGAAAAGGCTCTATATGCTTTAACATGTATATTTCTATAATGATGCATAAAAAGAGATAGTAAAATTTGTTGCTTCTGAATATGAGCACAAGGTATCAATGGCCTGTGATAGAAAAGAGACATATTTAACAGTACAGCTTAAACTATTTGAATTATTTACAATGAAAAACTACTACTTTATCCCAAAAAAGATGTAAATTTAAAGTAGCGTTTTATGATTATTCATCTGACAAATATTTATTAAGCATCTGCAGAGAAACAGGCAGTAATCTAGATACTGCAAATAATAGTGAAACAAAGAGACAAATTTCCTAACAAGTACAGTATAAAATCAAGATTTTTAATTGAATTTTATATTACACATATACTTTTTTCCTATTTTTCTACTTATTTTTTTCTAATTATTTTTCTACTTTTTATTTTTCTTATTTTTTGACTAGTCATCTCTGAAAGGTTCATATTATTCTTTCAAGTACATATGTCACCATTTACATAAACTCATTCCTACAACTTGCCAATTTATTTCCTTCTGAGTTTTAAAGTATTACTTAGATGTCCAATATCTATTTTATTTTCTTGGAATTGAGACTCACTACAGAAAATACTGCATCTAAGAACATCAGCATTTTAAATGTTGTTTGATATGTATCCCCAAATTGCTTAAGAATGTAATTTAGGCTGGGCATGGTGGCTCACGCCTGTAACCCCAACACTTTATGACACTGAGGCAGGCAGATCACAAGGTCAAGAGATCGATACCAGCCTGGCTAACATGGTGAAACCCCATCTCTACTAAAACTACAAAAAATTAACTGGGCCTGGTGACAGGCACCTGTAGTCCCAGCTATTTGGGAGGCTGAGGCAGGAGAATGCCATGAACCCAGGAGGCGGAGCTTGCAGTGAGCCAAGATTGCACCACTGCTGTGCCACTGCCCTCCAGCCTGGGCAATGGAGCAAGACTTCATCTCAAAAAGAAAAAAAAAAAATGTATTTTAAAAGTTTATAACACCAGAAACATATAAGATTATGTGTTAATTTGAACTATCAACATTTTTAAATTTATCACATTTAAAAAGAGAAGGGAGTACTCTGTGTTGTTTTTATTTATGTTTTAATTTTAGAGTTAAATATTATTTTCATAAACTTGGTAT